AGGTTAGACGCAGGGTATTAGGAAATGGTGGTAAATCAGTTGATGAGGTTATGAATCTTCATCGACTGAGATGGTTGGGCCACGTATTACGTATGCCTGAACACCGATTACCACGACGTGCAATGCTAACCGGTGTTGGAGATGGTTGGAAGAAGGTTAGGGGCGGCCAAACCAAAACGTGGCATCAGTGCTTGAAGACACTAACTTCTAGTCTGAGCCATGTTGGTAGATGCAGACTACTTGGTTGGGGTCCGCGTGACTTTCGTAACCAATGGTTGGAGACTCTTGGTGACATGGCTCAGAATCGATCACAATGGCGTCGGTGTATACACTCCCTGTCTTCCCTTAAACTAAGAGATTAAAATCACTCCATATCTTTCTTTCGACGAACCAATTATTTCTTCTTGTACTATATCTCTATATGCAATCCTCCTCTTATTTATTACCACCTTTGACCTAACCACTGCTATGAATCCGGTGTTCATCTTGTTGTGCTGATGCGGTATGGCAACCTGGACCGATGCACATATGTGCCTGGTCCTACGTTGTAGCTGAGTGACTGGTATCCAATAGTGTTTATATATTTAGCTACAGTCAATTTGCGATATTGTGCAACCGCTTTTTAATCTCACTGGTGAGTGATTGTCTTAAACTCGTCGTAGTTCAACTTCATTAATCAAAACGTTTTTCTACATATTTCTTCTTTCTTTCTTCTAATGTATCAGAGATCTGATTATATTACAATAATCGAGCTGTTGTGTAAATTGACTACTAAATTTTCGCCTTCCTATATATGTATTCAGTCATATCGTCATGTGATACTAACAATTATTTACTATTCTCTTCATATTTTCCTAGGGTATATTAAACGTTTTATCGTGCAATCTTCTAGTGGTCGATAAATTCAGTGGTACATTTAATAATACTGCCATTCAGAAATACAACAAACGTGTGCTTTTCTGCCAAAGTTATTGTAGCATACATAAACATAAGATAAAGATGAATAGCAAAGAAACTGAAATAATCATAGTATCAGTGACAATGAAAAGTACTGAAAATCGGGAATCTGGTTTGGAATGACGTAAGGGTATATATATATATATATATATATATATATATATATATATATATATATATATATATATATATAACGTGGTTGGGGTCCGCTCAATAGTCTTCATAAGTGGTTGGACATGTTGAGCGAAATGCTTAAGAATTGGTCACAATGACTCAGATGAATTCGCTCCTTATTTCCTTCTAGATCTTGCCTTCTAGTATTCGTTCATGTTCTTTGTGAAATATGGTCTCGTTGATTAGTCTGTCTTATTATTATTTATTATTATGATTATTTCGTCTCCTCTACTATTCAGTTTGTTAGTTTTATTTCATTTGTACTGATACGGTATTTCATTCTGCTTCAAGTCCAACTTCGATTGTTTTGTTTACCGTGTATAAAATCACAAAATTAGTAAATTTACAAGTTTTTATTAAAATTTTTATTCATATGGATTGAGAATAAACATTTTCAGGTATTTTAATCTGCTTAAAACAAATAATTTTGTAGGTCGTTGAGAATTTGATCGTATATATATATACTGTTAGTAATTAATTAGATTTGTAAGCCAAGTATAAAGTGTTATTAGTTTACTACTGTTAATGAAAAATTTGACATGAAAAAATTAATGAACAAATTACACGTTCAACTCATGTAGACCACTACCATCGCCTTTATTCCTCTAATCAAAATAATATTAAAAACGAACGTAAAAGAAAATTTGAAGCAAAACATAACTCAATTAATAGTAAACGATTATTTCTGTACAGATTAGCGGAAGTTCAATTAAGTGGGTAAATAAGTATATGTATGTGTGTATGTTTGTTTGTGTATTCGTGTGTACTTCATGTATATCTCATTATCATCACTTACCTTACATTCTTGTATTGATTAAGGATTAGTTTTCATTTTCTGTCAAGATTCATTTTCTAGGTAGATCACTTTTATTTTCATTTAAAATTCGCAATATAAATACAAATGAAGTGTATGTATATATATTAAAATAGATAAATAATATCATGTATTGGTTAACTACATCATGCAATCAACTATCCATTATGTGTTGTATAACATACTCTACTTAATTCATTATATGTAAAAATTATATTTGAAATAATTTCAGCGGTTGAAATTTAAAATAATTCCAATGTTTGATAATTTTGATTATTAGTCTGAAGAAATCCAAAAAAGTTTACTCGATGGAGCGTCATTGCTGCCGTCTAGCGTTTCGGGAAGTCAATCTTTAAGTCAGTTTTCTGTGAAGATGGGAATAAGGATACAATCATTGCTATTCGCTTATATATTTATATAGTTGGAAAATAGTTAACCTTACAAACTGACAGCAATTGGAGGGCTCAAACTAGAATAAAATATTCAACATCCAATATTTCTCGATGTTTAATCGTCCTTCCTATTGGATCAACCCTGTTGAACGTATCGTCAGGCATCACATGATAAACTCGATTTTATTCTTTATTCTTACCTTGGATTAGATAAGTAAGTCCTTTAAGTTTTGTTTCTTTTTCTGTTAATTTAAAACTAAGCTCTTTCGACTTTCTGGTGATTGACTTAATTTATAGGTTATATTCTCTGATATAGATCAATCAGACCTGCTGGGAACGAAACAGTTAACACCATTGGGACTGAATGATTGTTGCGGCATATCACAAACTGATGATTATTAAGCATTGACCGCGAGTCCTAAAGATCATGAGTTCAGTCCTTTGTGAAGTTGTGGATGTGCAGTACTGACGAGTCCCATACTTGGATAAAACAGCTGTATAGTGCTCCTTGCTTTTTAATGGTACACCAACTGAGACCAATATGTGATGAACATAACGTGAAATCTTTATTATGTGTATGTGTTCTACCGATTAGCAAATTAATCTTTCTCTAGAATGAAGTAGATTTAATTCTGTGATAAATAATAATCGATTCCATTTGTTTATATTTTCCCTAGAATTGTCAGTTTTCGGTTATGATATATCATTGTTGTGTACGTATACATACTTATAAACTGTACAGTTGCCATACTGACCACTACAAGTAGACAGACGAATAATAATTTATTCTTTAGAAGGAAATACATCAAAGAATCCAAACTTTATGTGGTTTTACCAAAAACTAATTCAATTCCATCAAATATTCATTGAGTAAATTATTGTATCACAACGTAATTCTCAAGTAGTGTTTGATATACTACTCGACTTACTTCATAGCCCTTGTATTAAGGTCTAATTACCCTATATCTGTGGATTGAAATCAAAGTAAATAGAGAGTAATTCGGACCTAAAGGATGGTACAATTCGGCTTACCATTTAGGTGAATAATTTGTCTTACAACAGATCTATGTTACATTTCAATCAGTTTGACTGTTATAGTGAATTGTAATTAGTCCATTATGTCTTTGGTTGTTTTCTTTGATTTTAATGGTTTAACTGATCACAACGCATCAATCTCACCACCAGAAAAATTGAATAAACCATCATCTGTCTGTCCTTACTAAAAATAGCTATTCTTACAGATTCATCAAAAAGTGTCTAGCAAGGCATCAACATGGCAACACCAAAATTCATCCTGATCAACAAAAAGGCAAATCATCTCACCATGTGTGATAAATATGTCAGAAATCACCATAAAAGTTCTAAATCCCACTGCAATCAAGGTAGCTCATAAGACAAAAGAACAACTTTATTCCATCCGACGTGGATTAAAAGACGCTACAACGAATGGAAACTAACGGACTATTGTCTGCCAAACTAACTGTATCAGTTCTAAAAAATATCACATTGAAAAATGTAGATTCCTTTTTTATCTGGTTATACATGCACTCATTTCGATTCACTCAGATAACCACAGCTACAAATCTGTTTGAGAAAACACCAAATTTAAGGATTTGGAAATTTTAATGGTCTACCGTTGGGGATCATATGATAAAATCATTGATAAAATTATACAAAAGTACAACTTTCTGGGTTTTTTGGCACAAACTCTCATTAATTAACTGAATGATAGCTTTACTGTCAATCAATCAGTCATGAATATTATCGGACCTGAAATATATATTGTATTGGTCCAAGTTGCCACACTATAACCCTACAGCAAAAAAACTATCAAGGCATGCTAGAGTAGTAGAATTAGTAACAGTATCAGTGGTAGTAGTAGAAAAGATTAAATAAAAACAATTTGATTCAAGAAAAATGGATGAATTTTCAGAGTAAAAAGTGTAAGATAATTTTAGACTGAATACCTAAAGGAAGTCAGTGAGTGGATATGCGTCATAAAGGTCAATTCTGACTCATATTACACAACGTCTTTAATCGCTGGTAACGGTAATCATGTGTTCCCCAACCAACTAGTCTGCATCTACCCACACGGCTCATAAACAAATAAAATGGTTTTGGTTTGGCCGTTCTTACATTTTCTCCAACTTATTCCGATACCAGTCAATATTTCCTGTTGAGGTGGGCTGTAGTTGAGCATGAATAAACAGTCCAACCTTCTCAGTCGATGAAAATTCACTATCTTAGTTCCCTATGTCTAACCTCAACATTACTCACTCGATGGTCCCAAAGTATGTAAGCAGTGCTTCAAAGACACTCATGACCAAATGCTATTAACTTGTGATTATTCTCTGTACTTTTAGAGGCCACGTTTCACAGCCATAAAGCAGAACAGCAAATTGCTTTGCAGTATACTCGTCCTTTAGTTTTACTGCAATTTGTCAATGTTATTAATGTTTATTGTATTAAGTTGACCTTTTTAAAGAAATTTTTGGTTATGGGACACATCATCTGACAGTAGTAACTCACCAGTAAGTAAAATTCTGTTCATCATCATAATGTCTCGTCTACATAATTGACTTAAAAGTTTATTTCTTGTGTAGCATTGTTTTTTATGAGCTCTGGTTATGGATCAAATCATGGTGATAGTTTAACAAAGGAAAATGGGAACTTGGTAAGTCGAGTAAAAATTCATTACATATCGTAACATTGAGGGAATTTTAGGATACTTTATCGTATTTTCCCATGTAGTGCAATTTTTATCGATGCCAAAAATGTAATGCCTTCATATCAACATCTTGCGGTTGACCAGTCTTTTAGTCTTTCCACTTAAATAACTTCTAGCTTGATAGTCGACGTTGTAAAATGTTGGTTGTCATTATATTCAGCCGTTATTCTTTTTAACCAATGAATTACTTAATGATTCACGTGCTTATATAACACAAAGTAGAACATATTAAGGATTTATTTTCCAAATAACCCATAGTGGGCCAGAAGCAATTAATGGTATCAAACAGTTGATCAATCTGTACATTGATTTTACCTAGGTTCTTTCATATTTGATTAATATTTTGAGTTTTATCAAGTTTTAAACGGTCTAAGGGACAAAAGGGGTGCAATTAGTCTATATAATTCATCTTCCAATTCAATTATCATCGTTGTTTACATAGTTCATTATGAACAACATGCTGCACACCTTTCATATACAACAGAATTCATTTACTATTATAAATTTCCTACGTTTATTTAATTTTTAGTCACTTGAAGCGGATCAGTATTCTGTCTTTAATTCAGCTATGTTTTCTTCGTGAGTTGAGGTTAGTTCAAATTAATAATATATTGATTTCGTCAACTACAGTCTATTCAGTAATATTTCATTTAATCTTGATGTAACATACCTAAGGTTAGGAAATAAAAATAAAAACCATTCATTTATTCCCGAATGAAATCCAAGAGGTCAGCATCGATCTAAAATCATTCCAGTTAGTTTTATAAGGATGAATGTTAAAGATTAATTGTTGAACTTATTATGACGTAAATTAACTGGTAATATTCAAGTTTATAAACAATGAAATAGATCGAATGGTAAAGTATTTAGTGACCATTTCCTTATCATTCATTGATTTGTAGAATAAATGTGATTTTATGAATATTCTGCATTATACATATGACTTGTAATAGTCACATTTTCATCCCTGTGTCGTGCGTATGATGAAGGTTGAGTGCGTATCGTCGGTTTGAGAAATATAGGATTTAAAGCAATTAGTTCCTTTCATAAATTTTGATTGATCAATGAGAAGACCGAGTTGATCTAAAAAATGTGATGTATTTGCGCTACACATTTGAGGAAGAACCTCTACCTGTGGGATTTAATTTCTCCACAACATACCAAAATTTCTCATTTGTCGATCGACGCTTAATTTGTAAATCTCTATGATCAATTGAACCTTCATGTCCCAACCACTTTAGATAAGCAAAGTTGGTTAAAGGTGAAATTGTTTGATATTGCGAGAATGCAATTTAATACTATCTGGTCTTTAAATTAATGAAATAATCATACTAATTTCATAAAGTTTACTTTTCACTAATATCAAGTTATTAATGTTGTTTGGGTTGTCCGTTCATATTGACTGGCTCTTATTTCCGAAACTAGATTTAAACATTTATTTTATTCAATTTAAAGCCATAAAAAACCCCCAACTAAAAAAAATGTCAATTATATGTCAAACCTTCCCCACTATGGATCATGTAAGTTAAATTTAATCTTGGTTTGGCTTATTTCCAATGAAAAAAATGTACAACATTAGTTATCATGTGCTCATTAGTAGCTAATTACTGGAGCTCATTCCCGGAGTTCGGTTGATTAATATCACAAATTGGTTGAAGTTAAACATCCAAAGTATTGTATGCCAGCTTGGTGGTGATCTAGAGGTTAAGCACGCTGTGACACCAAAAGATCGTGGGTACGATCCCTTTCGGTATGGTTATGAATGGGGGCTTCTGAGAAATTTCATACTAGGACAAAACGGCTGTCAACTGATTCCTAGCTTCCAATAATCATCTGTTCTTGATCTCAATGACATTCAACTTTCTCCATAAATCTTCCCTTACTAATATTAAAATAAAGTTGTACAGCAGGGAAATGTATGTTTTACTTGTCAAAGACTTTTATTTAATAGTGAGCTCACACAAAGTCTAAGTGACTCAACGTAGTGGCCACTATGTTTTTAGTTGATAGCTGAGAGTAGTAAAAAGCAAACTCTAAATCCGGGTTTCTTCCCCTTTGGCACTTCTCAGCAAAGCGTGCCTTCAATCTCAAGGAAATTGATACAGTAACCGAATAGGCACATACAACATTGGTCATTACTCAATGATCAATTACTTGTAAATATATTATTCGTAAAGGAGGTCAGTCATCGGTTGAATAGCTTAATAATAGCATTTCATACTGAAGCTAGGTGATATATTAAGTAGTTGACGTACTCACCCTTTGATTATAAGAAACCTTTTTAAAAGTTATTTAAACATTATAGTTATCGATAAGAACTTTCGTCTAAATTTGAACGAATAGTTTCACAATATTTGGGCGCCGAGTTAATTTGAGACATTAAAAAGAAGAATATATTTGTAAAATCTCAGCGAATGAATTTTAAGTAAATCCAACGTTTCGCCTGGCAATCTGGCCCAAGCTTTTTCAAGGAAAATATAATCAAACAACAAAATTATCGAATATAAATAGGTACATGGTTCTACGGTTTACTGTACACTGAATAAGTCATCCAATCGACGTGAAGGATTTCTTTATAGTTATCGATTTGATGCATAATAAATGTAGACCTTCCAGTTCTAGAGTATTACGAAGAAGCTTCTGCGTATAGCTTAGATGTCTTTTAACAATTCATAATTTCACGACAAAGCTTTTCAATACAAAATGTGTTTCAGTGCTTTACTTTTCATTTATTTCAATCAGACTTTATCCCTTATTCAAAATAAATAATATTACTTTATTCCTATGTTTTTTCGTTTATCTTCTTCTGATGCAGCATGGTTGTTAGCTCTTTGGAGTAAATATCATGCACGAGAAAGTTAAGTATCGAAACTTATCTATAAGTTACTATTTTAGGACCAAAATCAGAATTTATTAGTCATCAGTTTATTTGGTCTATCCGTCTTAATTGGATGTGTTACTAATATTGATGTTATCATATGGTTACAAAGAAGTTTTAGTCTGAAATTTCTTTCGTAACATTTAAACATGCATGCACTGTTAATCTACCGTACAACAGATACTGTCTAGATTGAAGCAGATATTAAAAAATTATATTTAACGTTTCTGACAAAATAGGGAACGATTAATAAGTCAGTTCACAAGAAATTGTTATACATTACAAAAAAGCATATCGTTTGTATGGTGATCGTTGATGATGTCACTTATATTCATAGACCAGATAAGATATATGGTACTACTTCTAGTATCAGGGACTAAAATTGGTATCGTACTGATCTCTTTTTCTTTGATATTCGATTGCGTAATCACAGCTTTGCTTTATTATTACGTTTTGTCTATTGTTGTTAATCACACTGTAGCTCACTAATTTCGAATGTTTTAGTAATTATTTATCCTCCTATCTCTTTCTATTACAGTCTTTTGTGTTCACTCATATCTGTGTGTATCATATAAAATATCCAACATTATTAGATAATTAGTAAAAGTAAACATTCCGATTCTCATCTACAAACATCAATTAAGAATAATAATGATTGCAGAAACCCATTAATTTGTTCAACGGATACATTATCTCATTTATCTGAACTTGCTCAATTATTACCAATTATACAATATGTTGTAATACGCTCTGGAATTATGTATTTAGGTGCTGAATTGGATTTTACTGAACATTTAGCACCGAAACGTTTATCACTTCATGGATTATTACCTTATCTAATGAATACATTACAAGTATGTTATGATCAAATTCTAAATGAAGGAAGTAGTATATAATCGATTATTCATTTTAAATAATATGTGTATTTCATGAATTCAATGCTTGTTATCTTTTGAAATTTGTAAACCATGGTTTTTAGACTTTTTTTGCGATCAAAATTTTACTACTTATATACTGAATTTATTATCTAACACACTGCTCATTACATTAACATTATTTTTTTTCTACAATGGTTGCCATTAATTTATTATTATTATTGTTGCATTTTACTGGTATTCTTTTTTTTTGCTACATACTATTATGATGTTAAATTATTCTCCAAGAGAAAATGCAGCTATTTCATTGTACTTGACTGAATTACTAATAATATTGTTTACGTTATGATTTTCTATTTTCTTTTATCAGTGTATTGTTGATGTACGTTTTCTCTGTTGTTATTGTTCTGGGTAAAATTGAATACACTCAACTAGTACATCCATAGAAGTACATTTTACTTTACGCTATTATATATAAGCTTATTAAAATCCTTAATTGCTTTCTATACTTTTCATTAAGATAAAAAAAGTTATCATACTATACCATAAATATGTCAATCAGTTTAGATTTGGGCAGAAATATAAACTGTCCTGAGTTGTTATAATCAAATATAAGGACGACGAGATGAACAATGATGACTGACAAACGAAGGAATTAAAGTAACATATTCTCAGTGATGAAGTGAATGATCAATTACTGAGTCTATTACTCAAAAAGATATAACCTATAACCTTGCTGCGGCAAGCAACTTCTCCAGTCTAACATGATAATACCAGTAATTCATTATTCTGTTGATTTATTTATTCTTTTGTTAATAATCTAACTCTTTTGCATCACATCATTGGTTCATTTTCTCTTGTATACTATTTTTTCTATTCAGCTCAATTACTTTCAGCGGTAATGATTTAGGCATTCGTTAGCATCAAGTTTGACTGGATGTCGTAGAAACTGATGAAGTCCCTTTAATATCACATGATCCTTGTGTAGTTGCAAATAACTGTCTAACTTCTCAGTTTGAACACTACAAAGAAACTATAGGTGAGTTATATATGTATTCCTAATATCTGTACTGTTTTGTCGGCTTTGTTTTTTGACGTTCTGGTTAATTTGTTGGGTGTTCATAGAAAAAGTTATATTTTGTTTGGGATCGATAGAAACTTTTGATGAGATCTCATGATGTTACTGCTAGAAATCGTTATAACAGACTAGATGAAGAAAACAATTTCATCATAAAGACCAGACAAGAAGTGAACGCAACACTAACACTTGAATACTACTTTACATTTCTAAATGTGGCAATTCTGAATACCCGAACATTTTTATTGGATAAGTATCCACTTGACTAGTGAAAATATTCTCGTATATTTCATTAAGTACAATTACTATATAATAAGTGGAAATTACTTCATACATTTCATTTTACAATGTTTAATCAAGGCTAAGAACAAGATTTGCTGTTAAATAATGAAGTCACATTCTATTTGAAAACCTATCATATTCATACAGAATATAGTTACAATGAATGATCTAGTTACCTATAAAAAGATTTTCATGTTCCAGTGAATTATTTTCAAAAGGGAACCTCAGAATTAGATAAAAAAAAGTGGTAAGATGCTGTCAGTTAGTGCTTGTAAATATTGCAGTTATGATTGATGAAGATTTTTGTTTGAAACCTAACTATGTGAAGTAAAGGAGATGAATCTACCAACGATAATCAATAGAAAAAGCGATGAGGTAACGAAACAACACAACTAAGGTGAAATTTACTGGATGAATACAAGTCAGTGGATTTTTAAAGGAATTTGGTAAGTGAAACCATTTAGGGTTAAGTATGTTTATTAGAATATAGTTTGATTGACCACGTTGTCTTACTGTATAGATAGATCCCTTGGGAAAAACTTGATACCAATCCCCTCTACAAAGGGAAATAAGTAACTCGTCTGATATTCGTTAATTATCCTAAATCCTCTAGTACTTTCCACTTCATGTCCACTAAATTTCTGGTGATCTAACTGAATTTCTGTCTGAAATCCATTGACATATTAATATTTTTTTTGCAAATTTAGCCCGTTCTCAATTGATGAGAAGCAATTGTTGAATACTACTAAACTCTTAACTTTACTCTTTTATATTTCGAAACATTCAGTTTGTCAAGATTTCTTGGAACCCAATAATTTCAATGAATATACAAATACCTCAAATTCAGGCGGTACGTTTAGTTCTTCATTGGTTTTCTGAATGGAACAACTCTGAACGTGAATTATTTCTTTCTACATTAAATTGTCTCGAAACAGTGGATCATCATTTATCCACTGATGATTCATTATCCATAATAAGTGAAATGAATACCAATGAGCATGACAATAGTTCTATACATCAGAATAATACTATTGGTCATCAAATGAATGATACATTCTTAGCGCATTTAATGAATAGGAATTTGCAAATTAATTCAGAATTTGTTGAAAGATCAGATTCATCAGATATATTTCAATGTCAAATACGTTTATTTCATTTTTGGTATCCTCAATGGTCATTAGAACAACGTGTTCAATTAGTTAGTAATTTAAAAGATATACAATTAAAATCATTAAACGGAATTTCGTAGATTTTTTTTTACATATTATAACTGTTTTCACTTTAAAACGACTGAGGATAATATTAGGCTCTAGTTATCTCCAACGTTTTCAATGTATAAAAGGTGTATTTTATCCATCATTTCCGATCATTTTTTTCCAATTATTCAATACTGCATATCAAAGTTTAACTTTCCTAGAAGATTTTATTTCAACCATCTAGAGTTATCTCCAATTGTATGGTATGAAAACGTTAGTTTAACGCGGGCTAAAATCTCAGATGACAAATATTAACATGTGAAAAGTTGAAGCTGGAAGTGGAATCTCCAATAAAAATTATACTAGTGCAAAACGTTCATTTACTTAATGGACAGAAAAACAACTAAAATGATTTATATGTCTTACTTATTGGACATTGAGAATGTTGTAGATAATCTCAGATTGTCTATTTCCATTGTACTATTAACTTAATTGTCCAGTGGTTGTTTTTGTAATATTGAGAGGAAAGAAAGCCCCTTTTTTATTATAATTGACAGCTTTTATACTGTATTTGTCAGTATTTCGTTGCAATTTTTCAGTTTATTTTAAATATAACGTTTGTTTTGAATATGCTAATAGTTTATTTACTTTTGATAAACTTGCTTCTTTTGGACAATTATATTGGGCTGAGCTACCCGCTCATCAGTAGTAGTTGACTTTATGTACTACAATCGTCGTAATATTATTTTGAGAGTTTCCTCTCCCACGTTTACACACGTAAACATATCAATCAACAGAAGCGCACAAGAGATTTATTTTTACCATATATGTGTGTATATATGTATAAACGTCTTGAGCGGTGGCCTATTTGTTATGGCGTTCGACTTTCAGTCACTGAATTGCAGGTTGAACCCATGCTCCACCTACTTCGGTTTAAGTAACCAGATAGTATCACTAGTCCTCACACTTATAGTGTAGCTCAAATCCAGGTACTTGGAGAGTAAACTAGTTTAAATCTTTAAACAAACTTCTATCCAGTTACTATAAACGAGAGTTATAAATGCCAGTCCCCCGAAGGGGATAGATGCCAGAATAAAACTGTTTGTGGAAACCGACGATACATACATACATATTGCATCATTGTCTAGTTCTTTTGAATTTCTTTTCTGTTTTTATTCTCTTTTAAGATGTGCTAATTATAATTAAAATAATACAGCGAATGCAAAGGACAGATACATATGTATGATTAATAGTAATAATATTGTATTCATTTCTCTCAAAGGTATCTGATTTGTATTTTTCTATATTTAAACAATACAAATGTGTTAATTGTTTTAATAATTCAATGCACATAATAAAGCTACACCACGTTGAACCCAGTGCTTTTGTTGTTGATCAGTTGGAATTTCAATGGAAAATACAAAATTTGTTGAATGACCAGTAGTTGATAGAGTTCCTGCAAGTGTAGAGTAAAATATACTAATAATGAGTCGTTTCAAACGTTTGAATCATTGAGTTATTTGATATACACAACCAGAATTTTAGTGTAATTCATAGTTTTTTTCATTATTCATGCTGGACATCTCGTAAGTTATTAAATTTACTTCTTATTCATCCTTACGAAACACGACTATCACTGGATTAACATTGAGATATTCGCATAAAAATTTAAGTTTGATATGTGGTAACATTAAATATATCTACTACCCGATGCTATAGTGATTAAACTACATTCTAAAACACGTATCATGTTGTGACGTATTACTACATTTAAATTTTGTGAGGTGATACCAATAACGGGCTAAAAATAGCCAGACGTTCTAGTTGCTTAATGTTTCGTATTTGTGTAGATAGGTATCTCTGATAAAGACTGTCAATATCCTGTATGGTTATATCTTCTTGAGTAACCATTTATTTTTTATTGGTGTTGCAATCATGAAGAACTTATTATTGTCTGTCGATGAAGTTTGGTTTTCATTCCAACACAGGTATTTTCGAAAAACTGCTGTTGTGATTAGTCCTTGAGGAACCTTGCTAACTTACATGCGTAAAGCACTTGTCGGAAGTTAACAAAAGATTTATTGAAAAACGTGTCGGTTTATAACAGATATGTTAACAACAACGTTGTAACATGTAACGTATTTAACACCGTTCAAAATTGTATCACTGTACCAAATATATGTCTGAAATCTCATCGAAAAACTGTCTTTTGGTCGAACTTGAAGCTTTACTAGTCTACATGGGGTTCTATATCACATGTCTGTTCCCTACGTTTGACATTATTGTCTATGTCAAGTTGATCATATCTGCAAACTGGCATGAATTCTGTAATTATTATTTTCAGAATATATATTTAATGAACTGATGCCAATCGGAGAATAAAGGCGGAATGAATAGTTGTCTTAGTAGTGCGCACTCCCAATTCTACAGGGGGTCGATTTCATATCTGGTTTCAAACACTCAATGGCAAAGAGTGATGGGTTCACATTTCTGAAAAGTACCCAAGTGGGACAAAACATCTGTCTAGCGCTTCCTTATTTTTATCAATTCCTTAATGAATACTAACTCAACATGGAATTTATATTTCATATACTATTATTATAAATTCCTTGACCATAACTAAATAGACATTACCTGCACGTGTTAACGTTTTGTATACTGGACATTCATAAATTCCCTGACTTGGTGATTTACGATTTTCTGTTGGTATAAGCCATATAACTGGCATATTGACAAATAATTCTTTTGGTCGTGATTCACATAATAAATTGAGTGTGGAATCCCAACCAGCACCTTCTAGATATAAGCCACGAATATAACTTCCATCGTCAGGTGATTTATTCAATTTCGCTTTGTTCTCTTTCATTACCTATTCATGTATAAAATAATAATAAATATATAATAATCTTTAAAAGTGTATTTATTAACCGAATTTAAATTAAAAATCTTATTAACTGTTATGAAGAAGTTTATCAATTTTCTGTAGTAGGTTACGTATCTTTTCAATACACTAGGATACACTTTACTGAGTTACTTCCCCTAAGAGTTAGAGATGGACTTTTTTAAGAAGTACCACCAGGCTTGACATATAAGTCCAGAGTTTCTTGCATTTTGCGTTCATGAACCTCATATTCTTCATTCTGAATAATTACATTTCATACTTATTCTATGTATTGGGTTCATCGGAAGTAAAATGTTTAAGTGTAGAGTCCAACAGGAGAAAATTAAACCGTTAGGTTAAATTATGAATTTCCCCCAATTAAACTGACTGAGTACTAAGAACTACATGGCAAGACGTCTATCTCAATATGTGGTGTTGTTTAAAGTAGAAAGCATATCAGTAAAAGCATGAAACGATTAAATTAGTTTCGTACACATACTCCACTTTATCATTTTAAAGAGAGCAAGAACGAAGATTCTAGCAGAATAGCATGAACCAAATGAAAGAAAATGGATCCCTGCTATTCTTCTAGAATCATTAAATTGGCGCTTGTCCTTAGTTTTATTCAGCTAAGACAGTTGAATATCTACAGAATGCTTCTTTTCAGCTACAAATACTTTTTGTACATATTTTTATTCTAATACTTGTTGAGTTACGTTGAAGCCCATGATATAATCTGAGTGTCGCTTGATTTTAAAGTACTTATTATAATCCAAGAAAATATCATGAGCGAATCCTAAAAGTAAACTCAGTTTATCAAAATTTTCCTGAGATTTGTTAAGTAGTTCATCTATAAAATGAAGGCTGTGATTAGTTGTGTAATTACAACATGAAGAATTCCTTAATGATTTGTCTTTCGAGCTTTTAATTTATCATCTCATCAAGTGTTAGTTTGAAGTTCATTGTAATGGGTTTATTGGTTGTTAATTAACCCGATACATACACACATATACGTAATCAGTTAGTTTTTTGTCCAATTTCTTGTTATTATATTGTCAAAGTACTCTGTCAATCTGGTACTAAGAAATGTACTACACAAAACCTACTTTCAGTATTCTAAACAAACAGAACGTAGAGAGAAGTAATTTTTCATAAGTAAATGTTGAGAAGAAAACCTTAAAGTAGACTTCATCTAGTTAAAATGTACATCTAATTGTTTTTGAGGAATATAACAGAAAAATATAACAAGGTTGTCACTGACTTTTGTTTGGAGTAATACCTATTAAGGTTTTACTCCATTGAGTTACACAACGTTCAGAATCCAATCTCAATTGTCGTGAAAAACCGAGTGGCGTAAATCCCACATAGTTATCTGTTGTACAAGGTGTTCCAACCTAAATACTTTTTAACAGTACATGGTATGGTACCCACTGAAAAAGTATGCACAAAATCTGTTCAAACTATCGAACTGTAGGTTTCAAGATTATTTACTTAAATCTATTACGCTTAGTGGGGCATAGGCCGCCAACCAGGTTTCTTTAAGCGATTCTTTCCTCGGCTTTCCTTTCTAGTCCTTATCAAGTGCTACTCATTGCCTTCATCCTTGCATCATTCCCGGAGTCATGTGTGCTTTGCTTTGCCTTTCCTCCTTTCGCCTTAAGTTTTCCAAGTTATCGCTTGCATCGTGATGCAGTTTGATGGTATCCGCAATATGAGTTCTGTCCAACTCCTGCGTCCTCTCCTAATTTCTTCCTCAAATAGAATTTGGTTTGTTTTCTGCCAAAATAAGTTACTAGTGCTGTTCGGCCAATGGATGTATAATATTTTTCATAGACGGCTGTTCATAAATGCCTATACTTCTTGATAGTCGTTCTTCAAGTTTCAGTCCCGTATAATAGAACTATCTTGACGTCTGAATGGAAAATTCTGATAGTTCATTTGAATCTCAGGCATTCTCCAGTTGTAGAAATGTTCCCCTTGCTTTGCTAATCCATTCCTTCATATCTGCATCAGATCTTCCTTGTTTATCGTTGACGCTGCCTAGGTATGTAAAGCGTGTTTCATGGTAGTAACACTAATCTAATCGCCTCAATTATACTGATTGACTGACCACAGTTTATAAAATGATAAGCTAATAGACCTTTTTACTTGCTAAGTAGATTATAAACAGGT